TTCATTTCTATTCTTCCTTGATCTAGCCCACAGAACCTGATTGCCCAGTCTCAGTCAGGTACTGGTAAAACAGCTGCCTTCGTCCTGGCCATGCTCAGCCGAGTGGAACCAGCAGAGAGATACCCCCAGGTGAGGGCTAGGGGATCCTGAGGGCCCTGGCTTTCCTGCCCTGGTAAAGGCAGTGCCATCTGGTGGGCGGTTAATGAGGGTGCCCCTAAAGGGGTCTGAATGTTTCCTGTGGCTCAGGCAGAGCACTGAGCACGAGGCCACAATCTGGGTAGAATTCATTCGGAAGCAGAGGTCTTAAACAGTGGCTTCCAAAGGCATCCACCCAGCCAGGGCTCGCTGCTAAAGGCAACCTGGTTGGAGAGGATGTGGCTCCCTGCACTTTTGAGTGGTGATTAGATCAGCATATTGTTGCTTTAGGGCCTGTTGTCTAGTAATAGACAGAGGCTCTCCTAAACTCAACCTTTATGATCTCCCTGTCAGTGTTTGTGCCTTTCCCCAACATACGAGCTGGCTCTTCAAACGGGAAAAGTGATTGAGCAGATGGGCAAATTTCATCCAGAACTAAAGCTTGCTTATGCTGTTCGAGGCAATAAATGTAAGTATAAAGGGGTGAGACCTAAGCAGTGAGCAGGATAGGGTGGTTGGGTGTTTGAATTTTGAAGGTGTGATGATATTAAACTTTCTGGTTCAGTTGACCTACTGCATTACTTTCAGCAAATCTGTTTTAAACTTGCTATTTAACAGTCGTTCGTACTCTTAAAAGAAGATTTTGAGTTGTAGAAATCTTTGTATGGGTCATGGATTTCTTAAAGTCTGGCATTCTTCACTGAGAAAACAGGATTTTGAATTCAGCATGCAGAGTTCTGGAAGCTGCTTATTCCTAACAAGGGATTAGTAGGTGTGAGGATGGTAGGTTGGAGTCATATCCCTTTGTTTAAAAACAAGCACAGCTTTAGTAAGAGTAAACTAGGAGCACATACAGATAACTTGGTGTTATCAAAACCAGAAATCCTTCCACCAGTTTTTTCTCCCTTGTGTTCTACAGAATGTAATGTAGAGAACATGGACTAAAGTGGAGAGGGGGGGCAGCTAGAAAACAGTTCATTAGAAAAGTTATCACAGTGTATAAAACTACAAGTCAGTAAGGAAAATTAAGCAGTCTAAATAGGAAAAGAGGCCCAGTTGAACAGACACTTCACAAAAGAAGGGATTCAGATGTCCAGTAAATATGAAGAGATGATAAATAAGCCTCATTTGTCATCAGAGAAATCTAAGTTAAAACCACTATATGCCTCTCAGGTGGACAGAAATGATGAAGTCTGATAATATTAAGTATTGATGGAGACATCCAAGGATGAATGCCCATACACTCCTGGTGGGGGGTATACACTGGTACAGTTACTTTCTGGAAGCAGTTTGGCATTCCTTAGAAAAAGTACAGACAGACCTTCCTTTGACCCAGCAGTTTATAATTGCCTGGGGCAGTGATTCTCAAACTTTTTGGTTTCTTATACTCTTAAACATTACTGAGAACTCCAAAGCATTTTTGTTTATACAGGTTTTATCTGTTGATATTTGCCATATTAGAAGCTAAAATTAAGAAATTTTTAAAGAGCTTACTTTTGAAGAATATGAAGACAATCTGGCCTTTCAAATAATTTTTTTTTAAAGATTTTATTTATTTATTTGACAGAGACAGAGTGAGAGAAGGAACACAGCAGGGGGAGTGAGAGAGGGGGAAGCAGGCGTCCCGCCGAGCAGGGAGCCCGATGCGGGGCTCGATGCGGGGCTCGATGTGGGGCTCAATCCCAGGACCCTGGGACCATGACCTGAGCCGAAGGCAGACGCTTAACGATTGAGCCACCCAGGTGCCCCTAGGCTTTTTATATATAATACCATGTCATCTGGAAATATTGACAGTTATACTTCTTCCTTTCCAGTTTGGATGCCTTTTGTATCCATTTACATTTAATATAAATGGTGGGTTAAAATTGATATGGTGGGTTTAGTTAAGCACTTTTACTATTTGATTTGTTTGTCTCTCATAGTTTCTCTACCTCTTTTCCTGCCTTTTGGGTTAATTGAATATCTTAGAATTCCACTTTAATTTATCTGTTGGCATTTTAGCTATACTTTTTGCATTATTTTATGAATGTTTTAAAGATTTCTCCATATAGGGGTGCCTGGGTGGCTCAGTTGGTTAAGCGTCTGCCTTCGGCTCAGGTCATGATCTCAGGGTCCTGGGATCGAGCCCCACATCGGGCTCCCTGCTCCTTAGAGAGCCTGCTTCTCCCTCTCCCTCTGCCTGCAGCTCCTCCTGCTTGTGCGCTCGCTCTCTGTCAAATAAATAAATAAAATCTTAAAAAAAAAAAAAAGATTTCTCTATATAAGTCTTGCATATTTTTTGTTAACTTCATTAATCTGGGTACAGGATTTCATCTTTTAGGTTGCTATTATAAATAGTATCTTTTCAGTTATATTTCTGTATTTGTGAAAGCTACTGATTTCTACTTATTTATTTTGTACCTAGCATTTTTATCTTTTGCTGAGATATGTTATTTTCTAGTCATTTTTAAGTTAATACTTAGTCCTGCAGGCTTATAATCCTGTAATCCACAAAAAGTGATCATTTTACCTCTTCCTTTTAATTTTTAATATTTTTATTTTCTTCTCATGTCTGATTGTGTTTGCTAAAATAATAGTATATTGGGCGCCTGGGTGGCTCAGTTGGTTAAGCGACTGCCTTCGGCTCAGGTCATGATCCTGGAGTCCC